GAGAGAGAGAGAGAGAGAGAGAGAGAGAGAGAGAGAGAGAGAGAGAGAGAGAGAGAGAGAGAGAGAGAGTACGCATGTATGTGTATGTATGTGTTACAGACTGCATAGGGCTCACGGCAGCTTTACTCCGTTCATAGGTGCGTCGGCCAGGCGAAGTGGCGAGGCGGGATGAGACGAAGCGCCGTACGGGAGGGTGAAAGCTCCCTCGCTCTCGCCCTCGTCAGAGAGAGGGGTAGCACCGGGAGAATGCGCGTTGTATCAAAGCGGCAGCCCTTGCCGCGCAGCGTGGGAGTTAGTTCTGGTGAGGGCGCCAGGCAGCTCACTCACCGAAGTAACCCACCGTCCCAACCCTTCGATCCTCCATCCCTCGACCTTCGACCAACAAAGCAACCTCCACGGCCGCAACACCTCCTCTTACCACGATTCCGTCGTCGCTTACCGTCGAAATTCCTGCCGTGCAAGAGGCAAAACGGTGTTGTGAGCGGCTGAATCTCTTAGTGTGAGCGCGTCGACGACGCGAGACGTTCGCGAGGGTGCAGCAGCGCGAAGAAGGGGCTGTCGCGCGACGAGCCGAGGTCGGAGAGTACGCATCGTGGTAGAAGGAGTGAGAGAGAGGAAAAAAGAAAGCAAGACAGATAGAGACAGACAGAAAGAGAAGGAGACAGAGGGAGAGAGAAGGGGAGAGAGAGAGAAAGAGAGATTCAGTACAGTTCTCGTCGCTCAATGGAACACCGGCGCGGCCGGTTGAGATCGTCGGCGACGTCAGCACGGGAAGTCGGGCAACCGCGGGAAACAGCCTTTAACCTTTGAAATACGCTGCGCGATTATAGTCGGAGACCAGACATCATCGTAGAAACGGAGTTGGAAGAAGAGAAAGAGAGAGAGGGGGCGAGAGAGAGGGAGGGCGGGAGGGAGGGAGGGAAGAGAGAGAAAGAGCGAGACAGAAGAAGAAAGATAGAGAAAGCGGTAGTCAGAGGAACGAGTGTGTGTGGCAACTGCGGTAGAACAATTCGTTAAAGCACCTGGAAGAATCCTTCAACCTCAACATCACAACTGACGGCTGGCCGATCGTGCGTTCCCGGTACCCGGTATAATTCCAGACGCACGCACAAGCATTACACACATATACACACACAACACACACTACACACTATACACACATACGCACATACAGACACATATACAGGCACGCACGTACGCACGCATCTACCTACCTACACCTACGGCGCGCGCGCGGGCGCGCGTTCTCTCTCTCTCTCGCTTTTTCTCTCTCTTTCTCTCTCTCTCTCTCTCTCTTTCTCTCTCTCTCCGGTATCACGCCCATATGAACGGCCATACGGAAGCGGAGCGTGGTGAGCGACGAAAATGTCAGTGAATGAATCGCGCCCCGTCGTGTCTGACCGGACGACCTCCTCGTACATGGCATGATTGCACGGGGTGCTGCGTCGGGTGCTGCAAGCGCAATCTCTTCTCCGTGACGCGCGTCGTCTTTTGAGAGAACGGCGGAGTGATGCGCGACGGGGAACATCGCCGGTGGAGCAGCAGCAGCAGCAGCACCAGCAGTAACATCGGCGAGAAACGGCGTCTGTAAAGGGTGGAGCAGTAATAAAAAAGAAGCGCGACTGCGGCAGCGCGTGAGAGAGCGAAGGATATCACTCGTCACTACTTCCTACTCTACAATACGCGTGAAACAAGAAAAGTTGTGTGAAGGGGTGCATGTGAAGAGATCATCGGTGTATATATCACGGTACCGTGGGATCACACACGCGACGGAGAGAGAGAGAGAGGGAGACAGAGAGAAAAAAGACTGACTGAGAGACAGAGAAACGACAGAAAGGACGAAAGAAGAAAAATTAAAACGAAGCCACGAGTTGAAGTAAAGGGAAAGAGAAATAAGGAAGCCTGAGAGAGAAAGAGGGAAGGACGAAGAGAAATTGATAAAGTAAAAGAAAGTGTATACATGTGTGCGTTGTGAGAGAGAAAGAGAGGGAGAGGGAAAGATAGAGAGGAAAAGAGAAGTAAAGTCGAAGATCGTCATCACGGAACGACGCGACGCTGAGGGTCGAGGGAGAGGTCGAGACGGGAGATTGGAGGAAAGCTCGGAGGAAAAAGGCACGGCTGACGCGACGGCGAGAAATCAAGAAGCAAGTATTTTCACGTAATGCCCCGCGTAACTAACTACACTGCACCTCCTCTATCGATGAACCTCCTCGCATATCTCTGTCTGTACTCCAGGCGTCTCTCGCCTTCGTGACATCCTCACTATTATATATGTAAATGCATATATCGATGTACCTTCTTCTCTGCCTTTGTTCTGACCCCTGTGTACTCTCTGTCGCAATATACTCGCTCGTGTACCGCCTTTTCGCGTTTTCGCACTTCGACTACGCGCACCGCTCCTGTCACGGCAGCAAGCCTTGCTTTTTCAACGTTTTTCGGGGCACCTGTTGATACGACCGACCTACATACCACACTCTATCCACATTATGTCACCCCGTTCGTCGTTCGACCGAGTCATCAGGGCCGGTATTCAGGAGATCGTCGTGCACGACGTGTCCGTTGTTAGTTCCGTTCGCGCGAATTATGTCGACGACAAGAGGTCGAATGGTCTCGAGGACACGTGGCGGAGACGTTCTCGGGAGATCGCACAGAGCGGATCCTTGCAAGCCGAGACTCAAGTATCGAAACGAAATTATTTTGTTCTTCGTTTCATCGTCCTTTGAAACAATCGACCATCGCGCAATCTGTTATCCGATGTGAAATCGCGCGACGATGACGATTTTTCAATTGTATTCAATTGTATCGAATAACATTTGAATAATCGCTACAAACAAAATCATAGACGCGGGTCAGTATGTTACATCCAATATTGAGTCTCGGTAATTGAGCGCGGCCATTATGCGATTGCAAACACTTGCCGCGCTCGTAGAAATTTCGCATTGCTCGGCTGCTCGCGTTCGAACTCGTTTCATAGGTTCCGATTAACTGAATGAAACCTCAGGAAATGAGAGTTGTATGCTTGATCTTAACATGATTTGAACACTTTATTTATAAAAAGTAAAATAGGGGCATGCACGACCTCACTCAATTTCAATGACCTTGCAATATGCTGTCAAGAGAGAGATATTATATAACCTAAATAACCTTTAAGAAATTTTGAAAAGCTACTAACAAAAGTCTGAAGAATAAATTAGTTAATATCAGTGCACAAAAGTATAATTCTTCATACAATATTAAAGGTTTCTCGTTCTTCATTTTCAATATGCGTTCATTTGAATATTGGATATTATTGGTTCATATTACGTCAGGCACGTGGTTTATACACGTAATTTGAAGACTATTATATCATTAATGAAAAATTTATCGTTTTGTGTAATATACGTAATTTATTGTTTATGTTATACGTATTTTTTTAGAAAACATATACATCTTGACAGAATTTACATCTACAGTGATAAATTAGACGCTTAAAATATGATAAAAACACACACGTCTATTGAAAAGTTAATATATGAGCTTACGATCTCTATGTAAAGCAAAGCATTTAGATATATTTCTCAGATGTGTCTCAGATTGCTTCATTTCGTCTCCTTTCTTTATATTTTTTTTGATATTTGTGACAATTGATCTATTTTGGCACATACAGTCGTAGTCTAACAGTCGTATATAGTAAAATAGTAAGGATTGTAATTTGGAATGTAATTAAGTCAGTTTTTAAGAATTTATGATGATTACGAGAAACTTCTTGGATTTGTACTAATAGTCGTTACTTGAAACTTGTTTCAAGTGAGATATTCAGATTTGAATTTAGAGTTTTTTAGTTGACTCGTAATTCTAAATATAATGGTTGCGTTCAGCAGAGAAAATTGCTTTCTGTTATAAATTCTGTCTCATCTGTTATAAAATTCGTGAATATGATTGGTATATACTCTTGATCTGAATTTAAGGAGTATGGCCACAGTAGCGGGCCTAAAAATATCAGTAAATTTAATTTTTTTCAGTATAAAAAATAATTTAATATAAAATCAAATTGAAGTATTATTTACGACATATCTTAAACTAATTTTTTTGTACTTAAATTCTTCTGTATTTTTTCGATTTAAAATGGCAGCGCTATCGTTGACGAAACCTAATACGATTTGGAGGTGCTCCGGGGCCTGACATTTAGCGCCCACATGTATTGACTTAGAACAAAAATTAAAATTTCTTTTTAATTTACATTAAAATGCCTAGAGAAATACGTGGGGGTTTTGAAAATATTGATTTTTTCAGAAATGGTAGGCATTTAAAGTCATAGTTGTATTTTTTGCTAAAAAATATCGTGAAAACTGTTCATAAAATAAAAAGTTTTTTATATATCGAAAAACCCCTACGTAATTCTCTGCGGTATCTAACAAGTTGCTGCTAATGTAAAGTTATTCGAATAAAAATTATTGAAGTTATGTGTCAGGCCAACTTGAAAAACGTTGTTTTAAATAAAACACGTTTAAAGTTTTAAGTGCTGTTAAAACTTAAAATTGTGACTTTAAAATTTTTTTACCATTACTCCGCAATACCAACACCATAAAACTGCTCCTTTGTGGCAAAATTTTTTCCTGTTCTTCTTTTCTTAAAAATCTTAAGCTCGAGCTGCTTTACATCTGTTATAAAGACTTATAATCTGTTTATAACAGATGTAAAATCTCGAGCTCATCCTTCGCCGCGTCCGACAGCGAGCGCTCGGCCTGCGCTACGCGCAGTTGATCGACCTCAACGCAGAAATTACAACAATTAGGGCTTATTGTGATGCCCAAAACTTTCATAGCTTCTATGATGTTGTTTAGATCATCGTTGAAGGCGCATACAGCTAAATCGGTAGCTATATCCAAAGTCTTTTTGCTGCTCGAACTGTTCTTCGGTGTCAGGCTCCATTGAATTAAAATTTTCCATAATTCCACAATTGAATTGAAATTTTCGTTGCTATTTTGGGTGTAACACCCTAAACAACGAGTAAGCAGTTCATCTTTACTCAATTCGCGCCATGATATGCTTGGTGGCGCTGTATCGTACCTTACGGTGTTCGTTCTAACTTTGTTAAAAAATTTTGTTTCGTTATAAATCGAATTGCAACTTATTTTTACGACGATAAGATACCGTCTAAACAAAAAAAATTTTCGCTTTTTTGAAAATTCTACCGTAGCCAAAGCTCTTAAGAGTATATATACCAATCAGATTCATGAATTTTACAACAGTACAATATATGATTCGATTATAAACTTAAGATTGAATTCTAAATTCAAATCTGAGTGTTTCACATGAATTACAAGTTTCAAGTAACGACTATTAATATGAGCCAAGATCATTTAATAGAGTATAGAGAATTCTACGAAGTTTTGTCCTAAATGTCAATGAATGTCAATTATTACAGTTTTACATTAGTTTTCCGATGTTCTAATGTTCAGTATGCTCGCAACTGTCTTAATGAACAATTGAACAAAAATATGAAAAAATAATTGGACAAAAATATGAAAATTAAGTGCTTTTAGTAATTATGGTTCTCACAAAGTTGTTTAAATTTATAAATGATATATCGATTTAAGGCGTTATATATATACCCACACAGTTAGACATGCACATCAACATTTCCTCGCTGCATTATTTTTACTGTATTTTCTAAATACATTACTTTCTTATATTTATTTGTTTTTGTTTAGAACAGATATATCTTGAATGATAGATATATCGTGTGTAGAGATTTATTCCAATTTTCAATGTTTCAATTTTAGTATAAGATAGATTCATCATTTCAATGAAGCAAAAGCATTTCAATTTCTTGAGCAAAAACATATCGAATGTTATATGATTTATTTATATAAAAATACGAAAGGAGAAAGATATTCCAAACAGTTCCAAATACTCATTGTGTTAATTCCTATTAATTTGTTTGGTTTTTTCTGTTTGATTAAATAACGTAATAATACTTCATTACATGTTTTTTTTTGTTATTTCTATATCAGTTTGGTTACTATATGTTTCATAATTAGAGTCAAATTCGGAGATGATTGGGGAGACAAAAAATGGTTGAAATTTACGAAATTAAGATAGATAAGAGGAAATATAACAAGGGACTATTATTGCCAAAGACATTGGATATTTGGCGGAATTGGAAGATCAATGAATCGATAATTTATTGAATCTGTGAACATAATAACTTTACTGACATAGTACTAGATGTTATAAAAAAGTGGATAAAACCAGGAACAATGGTCGGATTGTTGGAAATCTTATTTAAGTATTTGTCAAATACAAGCTACATTCATGTGGCAATCAATTACAAAATATATTTTCAATTCTATAAGAAGTGTAATACATAATATATCTGGTGTGAAACATAAATATTTCTTGTTATTAAACGCGAAAAGAACACTATGGGATAGACACTATTTAGCATATTTAGCTGAATTTTTGTTTAATTGATGTTTGATTGGATTCTGGATTTCTTCAATATTATGTCACGATAATATATCAAATATCTGAAGACAATAGCAACAAATAAATATTTAACAATAATTATTTAACAATAATTTTCTGAAATTATTTGTTACTTTCGTTTATTTCTTTTTGAATTACTTGTTATTTTTATTTATTAACTTATTAAATTTTTTTTGTTTAAACGGTATCTTATCTTCGTAAAAATAAGTTGCAATTCAATTTATAACGAAAAACTTGTTAAAAACTTGTCTTATTTATTATGTTTTTATTATAATTGACTTTCTTATTATAATAAGGATGTATCGATCTTGGTAATAATGTATGATAATGTCCAATATCTGAAAACAACAATAACAAATAAATAGCTGTAACTGTAATATTTTAGGATTTTATTTTTTTTTACTCTCTAGGATAATCTTGACCTTGACATATACTGTTAATGTCATAGTCTTCAATAATTTGCAAATAATGTTTAATAACTTTTTAATAAACAACGAGCAAATTTTTATTTTGTGTCAAGAACATTCAGTAACCTTCACTTTCCAACATGCTTCAAGGTCATTGGAATCAATAAGGTCGGTCTTATTCTGTATAATTATCTTTTTTAATGTTCAATACGCAACTGATATCCAATGAGAGAGATAACTTATTTTTTTTAATTATTTAAAATTGTATCTTAGAGAATTTTACAAATTCTAATATTTTGAAGATAACTTATCTTTTGATATTTATAAAAAAAATGTATTTTTCTATTGAACGCTGATTGTGTTCTAAATTCCCCCAAAAAAGGCGTGGAAAAAGCGTGTTCAAACCGTATTAAATCCGAATATACGCGAATGTAGAACATGGAATTTTCAAACGTGGATACTTGAGTTAAAAAAAAGAAGATCGCCGAAAACCGCTACAAATTTCCGGCTCGATAGTCCTTGGCTGAGAGAGGGGAGGGATAGATTCGTTCCGGAGCGGCACGCTCCGCGAAAATGAAACTTCGCGAAGTCACGTCCGCGGCTAATCTCACCGATATTTCGCGCACGATCGCAGCTCAGTTGGAGCCGCCTCGGGTAGGCGCAGTTATTTATAAGCGAGCACACCGCGTGTCGCGACGCTCGTGTGATCGTTATCATCGCGATCGACATCTGGCTGGCGTCGCCGTAGCTTCTCATTTCCGTTCTGAGGAAAAATCAACGCCCGGAACGTTTGATAGGCGAGGAAGAAAAAAAAAAATACAAAACGGGAGGTGGCGTAAGACAGAAAGGAAGAAAGGTAACGAACGAACGGACGGGCTTGCGGAAAAAAAGTGTGTCTGTGCGTGTGTGAGAGGGAGAGAGCGAAAGTGAGCGAAAGGGAGAAAGAGAGAAAGGCGAGAAGGGAAAGGTAAGCGGATAAGGAAACAACGTCGAGGGAGTTCGCTCTCCGTAGAGATGGTAGCTTTATTGGCACATACGAGCGATCGCGAGCGGTTTAACATCGGGTGGCATCGATTGGTTTAAATGTTGTCCACACTCTCAAGCACCTTTACGCATCTATGGCACGCACGATGAGCACCTCCGATTACCTCCACACGTCGCCAGCACTCTGTTGAATATATGTCCTGAGAAAAAAAAGTAAAAAAAGAAATTTAAAAAAGCGATAAAAAACCAAAACTACCAAAATCTTTTTGTGTTCCTGGCACTTGATAGGATGTCGCACGTTATTCTTTACTAACGACCTGATTTCAGGACGGTCGGTACAGGAGACATGTGCGCTTTATCACGAAGAGAATAAGCCAAGGTCGCGGCTACTATCACGGACTACCAAAAGTGAAGCGTATCGATTTACAGGAGCGAGCATAACGCAATCGAGTGTCAAATGTGAATGATACACCGTGCACTCGAATTTGTTCTCGATAAAGATAGAAAGAGAAGGGGAGAGGGTAAAACGAAAAAAAGAAAGGAAGAAGGAGGAAGAGGGGGATCTGTTCTTTCGGAGTCCTACGATACAGATCCTTGCTCCCAGTGAGGACATGCTAGGAAATCACGGTCGATACAGTTACACGCGTAGCACATTTTTGCGTTTTCTATGCAATAATAGCCACTGTGTCGAAATTATATTACGCCGTCGCTCGTGATTTTTTATCAAGCTTATCCTCCCGCCTCCCCTTCTTCGCCCTCACGGTATCAATCGACCGCCCCCGTACCTCCTGCCCACCTGCGTACTCAGCCGCACACGTACACACATAACACGCAGGTAGGCACACACATGTATAGAAATATACACACACACACATATACACGTACACAGACGTAGACACACTCTATCCTCAGCTTCCCAGTGTACCGCGCGTTCAAACGAAAAGTCGGCCTAACCCCGAATCGCTACAAACGTGCCTTTAGACTGGCAGTGAGTAGTAAGCAGCTAAAGCGTGTGTGTACAAGAAAACAAAAAAAGCATCGTTGCTGTTCATGTAGGTCAATTATAATACCACACCCAGCCGTATAATTGAATACGACAAAAGCGGTGGTGGTGGTGGTGGTAGCGTTGATGGTAATAGAGAAGCGAAAACGAGAGAAAAAAATATATATACGTAGATATTTACATATATATACATAAATAACAAGAGAGAGAGAAAAAACTTAGAGAGAAAGAGAGAGAGAGAAAAATCTTAGATAGAAAAAGAGAGAGGGAAAAGGCTGGAAAGGGTGAAGGTAGAGGAAAAGAAAGGGGGAGAAATAGAGATAGAGAGAGAAAGGAAAAAAAAGAGGGAAAAAAGCAAAAGGGAAAGAGAAAAACAGAGGAGAGCAATTGTGAAATGCGAAAAAAAAACATGGCGGTCTGCATGTTCTGGCTTCTCACTTACGTGGGACAGGGGCTGGATCTGGCGGTAGGCAATCGACAAACTATCATAGTGCAGGGCACACAGGGACTGGACTACCGTCATGGAAGTAATAGCATTAGAAAGAAGAGCGAGCCGAACTCGATAGGTAGCAACCTGTTGCAGTTCAGGATATATCCTTCCGAAGGCTCCCACCGGGACGACCTGTCGAATTGGCTGGTCTTCAACGACGAACCGCGGATATCTTCGTGGTCTCCGGCGGGCATACTGATCGACGACATGGTGAAAGAGCCGCGCGAACTCCAGTCGGTGTTCTTCGCCTTGTCACCCGCCGTCCTGAACGTCCTCTACTCCGATTACATGACGTCGCAGACGTCCGCGCACGCGGTCGCCGTGGAGCCTGTCCTTCACGACGACAGCAATCCGCACCTCCATGGTGGCCGGCCGCAGCATCAACGCGCCAAGAAGCGCCTGCTGGGCTGCAGACATCCCACGAAAGGCACGCTCAGTCTACCGATATTGGTATGCGACGGCAAGAAGAACACGGCGGCGGCAGCAGCTACGACGATTCTTCAGGACCCATCCAGACAATCGAACTACCATGACGATCTCTATGAGCAGAGATTTAACACTGCGACGAGTACGAAGACTGATCTCGCGCGCGCTGAAGGCATATCCCATGAGCTACCAAACGGCGGCTTCGTCCCGAGGGCACTTGTCTACGAGGCCAACAAGTTACCCGGCAAACGGAATCAAATCTCAGTAGGACGGCGCTCGGCCGATACGCAGGCCGAATCCCCGGAACAACAGGCTCAATCGTCTGCGACGTCTTCGGTGGCCTCAGCCGGCGCCAGCATCGCCTCGCAGTTCATGATGAGATCCATCAGGGGAAGCATACAGTATGACGTACCGCAAATCGGTAAGCGTTCGCTATTTATCATGTCGTTCTTGTCTTGTAGTGATTTTCTTTTAACTGATACCTTCAGGATGTGCAATGTCAAGAGGCTGGCTGATCATTCTCCGTAAAAAATCAAACGAATCGAGCAGCTATGAGCTTCCGAGACTCCGTTTCGACGTTTGTTCGCTTTCGAGTGGCAAAATGTCTGTGAATTTGCTCAGTGACAGAAAGATCGCGACATTTTTATTCGATAAACTTTAGAATGCTTTCACGCAGTATTAAGTAGGAAAACGTATTTTGTATATAATCAGAACAATTTATTTCTCTTCTAAATATTACTGAAAAACAATTTCTACGGACTTTAATTGGATATAGATGCATTGTGAAATTTATTGAAAAGGAAAAACAATACTATGCAATGAGACTATCTTACTCAGGCAAAAATAATTCGTCGAAACGATGTCATTTCAATGTTATCGAAACTTATCGATTCGGAATTCGTGTTGGAATTTTGGCATTTCCGAGCAAAAAGAAGTTGCATATATAAAGAATCAGATGATAGTGCTTTACAAATCTGGTGTATATTTACAAAGGTCGAGTATCGAGACGGCATAAAAATAATGATGACATAATTTTGAAATGAGAAATCTTAAGACTATGAAATTATATCAAACATATGTAGGGAAGATATAGTTATCACACTTTTTACTTAATGATAAAAATAAGACGGTGTATGTAATATTTCAGAATGTTGAATACATTGTAATATAGCTACAATTTTTTAGGTACAAAAAAAAATATGAGCCGTGTTTATATTTATGCACAAAGAAATTATACAGTCATAAGCAAGATCGGAAAAATGTGACATCCAACCTCATACCCTGAATCAATTGTTACATGTCTTCTATATGGAGAAAACACGACAAATAATTCTTGTCATAACAGTGTTCTTAATGTTATAGCAAAATTAATTATATACAACCATGTATCGATATATAATCATGAATATATATTGATTGAAAACTGTATATATATACACATACAGTTATATCAATAGAAACCATTCAAAGTTATTTTCGGAGAAGGTATATCTCGGAAATTTAAATGCGCCGTACAAATTCTACCATTTGCAAGGTCTGGCAATGGGTGAAAATCAAACTCACTGCGTGTGACTCATTCACCCCAAACGTTCATGTAGATTGAACGAGATTATACTTATACATAATGTTGCCATAATTATTAACTGCATATAGAAACGATTAGCGAAAAGTATAATATTTCTTACAGATACAGAGAAATTACGACTAGCAGTCTTAAAACAAACAAAACATTAAAAATAGGGACCAGAAAAAATTTACTCGCATTTGATTTAAAAAAAAATACTTATAAATACTACATGCGATGCTTTGGCTATAAACCATTTCGTACTAACTAACTACAGTGTTACAAGCAACCTACACTATAGAGGAGAATATTCCCTTCTATTTATTAAGTGAGATAAAAGCTTTGTGACAATCGACCGTGTGACTTTCAGTCCTAGTCTCCCCTACATAAAATAAGATATAAGTTAAAAAGGTTGAAAAGATAAATCAAACTCCCATTAAACTTTCCAACTTTTCGTTGTTACAAAATGCCAAAATATTGACGCAAATTTTGAATCAATAACTTTTGACATTAGCTGCGTCGAAACAATATCGTTTCGATTAATCATTTTTGGTTGGATTCAAGGTAGTTTAAGCGAATTGTTGAACGGTTGGTATATACAGATAATAATTCTTCGATCTTGTAAAATACCAATACTTAGAACGCAAAAATTACACTATACTATGTCTCTTTGATGGGGACGAACAAATTTCTATCTATCTCGTGATATGACTGTTATCAACTTAAGTAAAAGTGCGGGATATTCAATTAAAATAAAAACATATAAGTGCTTTAATTGAAAACATTTGATGCAATCTTTTTGTCACTAACTGTACACGATACTTCGATAACAATATAACGAATAGCGTCCGATAACGACGATACTTTTCAACATTGGACAAGTTTCAACTTTGTTAGAGATGGAGGAACAGAGAAATAGCATCGTTTGGTTTTTCACGCAATTTCTTTATGAGAGAATGAATAATTTCGAAAGAAAAAAGTTTATTTTTGTGGTCCTACAAAATCGAGACTTGTATTTAATAAGCATTCAATTCTGATATTTTAAACATAAGGAAATTTCGTAATGGTAAAGAGACTTCTTGACTTCAAAAATAAGAAATTTATTACTGGCTGAAGCAATATTATTCACAACATTGTAATTTACAAAAAAATTGAGAAAGAGATATAATATTGAGACTAATATCGTAATAAATTCCAAAATTTGGAACGATAACATTTGGTATAGTAAGAGACTAGATTAATGTAACGTTCTGGAAAAAGCGTATTTTAGGGTATTAATTTTACAAGAATGGATCAATCGAATGTTTTAAAACATTATATAATAATTAAGTAACTATTAAACTTTATATTATTATTCTTGTTATTTAGAAAAACCCATAAATAAATATGCAGCATGTGTGGCCGAATACATGGCCGTTCTAGTGATCTGAAAAATAAAAAACCAAAAGGTCTTTTAAATAATATGCTTATAGTTTGGATGATGAATCTAAAAAATTTAGAAAAACATTAAATAATACTTTTTTTAATTAATTCAAATTAATTAATTTTTAAACAGTTATTATTTCTGCAATTTTTGTTCCACAGCTTGAAATTTAGGTTCATTTTCTAAGCAAATTATTTAAGAAACTTTTTGATTTTTGATCTCAGGTCACTAGAACAGGTAGAACAGGCTATCTTTCCTGCCAATTGCATACTTATATGCAATACAATTATTATTTATTATATTTATTACAGTTGTGCATTGCAGATATTTTTTGCAGTCGTGTGTTTGACCACATGTTGCATATTTATTTATAGGTTTTACTAAATAACAAAAGTAGTTATATAAAGTTTAATAGTTACTTAATTAATATACAATGTTTCAAAATATTCGGTTGATCTATTTTCATAAAATTAATTTCTAAAAATATGCTTTCTTTTAGAGCTTATATTGGCTCTTTAAGGAAATATTCTACTCTAAATATCCATTTTCAAGTTGATTTTTGGACTTAAATAAGAAAAACTACAAAAGTTATAGAACAGGGATTTTGCACGCATATTTGTTCATGTTTAAACTAACACATCAAATTTTTATATATCATTTTGTTAAAAATTATATAAGTTAGAGATCGATACGTAAGCAGTGTCATGAACTATACGTTCAACTATACTATATTGATTGCAGCCGTTCTAGTCATTTAAAATAAATATATAAATACTTTTTGTAATCTGTATGAATATAATTATCGCCGACATATTTCTAAAAGGTAAAAATATGAACGTGTGTAACGAAATCGCAACTGTTGACAGATTCAAGTTAGATTTTCTAACACATTTTCCAATTTAAATAAGCCGGGGCAAAAAATTATTTTGAAATATATACATTAAAGATTTCGGTAATAACACTACATTTATACTGATTACAAAAAGTATTTATACATTTATTTCACGGCGACTGTAATTAATACGTACGATTAAATGTATAGTTTGTGACACTGTTTGCGTGTCGAACTCTAACTTGTATAAGTTTTAATAAAATAACTTATAAAAATTTCGAGTGTTTTTAAAAAATGAATATATATGTATTTCTGCAAAACTCCAGCTTTATAACTTTAATAGTTTTTATATTAATTCTCAAAAATCATCTTGAAAACGAATAGAATAGAATATCCTTAAAAAACTCTGCAATTATATATATTTTTTTAACACATAGTACAATGTAGATCTGTTAGATACGATTAATTTTGAACTACCGTAACTTCATTGGAAATCAATATTTTCGGACACATTTTTTCCAGAGATATAGAAAAATCTCAGCTACATGAATTAGCGAAATAAAATTAAAATCTACAAACAGATTTACGCTATTTTGAAGTTTTCCCAAATTCTTTACGACAGTTGGTAAGCGATTGAATATTTGTTCAGGTCTCACAGATGTAACATTATACGCGGAGATTTAAAGCATCCCTGATGAGGCGATTGAAAATAATTATACTCCCAGTGATCAAACTGCGTTGACTTTCACAGGCTTGTTGATGTCTACCGTGATAAAAAATTTACATTTCGATCAAATACGACTCTTTTCAATTGGCTTATTTTTTGCATACATCGAATACTATACATTATATTACGTAGTAATATAATGTTACAGCCGTTTATCTCCGAAAACGGGAGTTTTATCGGGATATTTAAAAAAAATATCAACCACTCAACTCGATATCGGTGATTCGTAAAAATTCATGGAAAAATGTGTTGGAAAGGTTATTGTTTTTCAATTAAAACCCGCGAATCGAACGAACGCATCACGATACAAATACGCAATATCGGTTACACAAATAAAAAGCTCCGAATGCGAAAAGGGCTAGAAGAGTCGCATCGCGAAGTGCATCTGAAAAAGCGAAGAAAAAGCGACGACACGGTGGTCGCACGAGCGTGTCCGCCGACCCTTCCAAATTTATTGATCCGAGAGAACGAAGCTGACGGTGAATCTGTGACAAGAGGATGACGGGGAACACGGTCCCGGTAAACACCCTTCGGTGCTGCGGATACCATTGAGAAATCTAAACGCGAGTGGAAGCTTCCCGTCGAAAATCCTCTCAAAATGCCGTAAATGCCACTTGCCTCGAAAGTATACGAACGAAATGTAAAGCGAAGCATGCTACGAAGCGTTTCGTTTCAGCTTGGCCGCTGTGTACGAGAAATGTTACATTTATCAAGAACGTTACATTTTATCATAAATAACGCAAACAAAATGTAAAACGGAGTGCATTCCGCGAGGCGTTTCGTTCCAACACGGCCGCCGTGCACGAAAAACATTACACTTTATTATCAACGTAATGTAAATGCAATTTATTATTAGCTTAACGACGAAATTTATATACATCGACCTATACTTTCATCTCACGCGCGCGTTTGTCATTAGATTTACCACTCGGGGTCTCGTCCTACGTAAGCATTGAATAAGAGATCTTCGTTACTTGTGCAAGTACGCACGGAGAATCTGGTAACCGCATTTAACACCGAGCAAGCCGGGCTTTTGAGAGAGAAAGAGAGAGAGGGAGAGAAAGAGAGAGGAGGAGGGAGGAAGGAAGGTGAAAAGGGAGGTACGCAAGACACGCCTTTACATTTATATTCGATGAATAATACAGAGAATCAACTTGCCACGTTTAAATGTTGCAACGCATTTACTGATGGACCTACGCAACCACTGTGAGATGCGCATTTACCACTATATAATATCGCACAGTTCTCCGCCGGTTTTAATGCTTCGTTTGAATATGCATTAATTTAATTAATTTAATCGTTATGCGCGATTACAGAATGACAAATCTCTCTCTCTCTCTCTTTCTGAGGCTTGCATATCTGAATTAATATTTCAAATAACAACGAGACCAGTATGCATTTTGATAAAACTTGTATCAGGCTACGGAAGTGTGGAGCGCAAAAAAACGTAAAAAAAATTCTATAAATATTTTATAAATTTTTATGAATTTCTTCAATTTTCAATTTTTAAATATAAAAGCTGCTTCGAAGCTGATTCTTAGAAGTAATCAAATAACATACTCGTGCGTTCTATTCCAGATTTATTTGAGTGAAATTTCACTTGGATTGAGTGAAAAACTCAAAAGTTCAAAAATTCAAACACTCAAAGCGATAATGAGAAAGTTGCCACTCATAAGAGTGAATGTGTAAATCTAATCACAGCAGAGATCAAAAGGAGGTCCTAGTTTAGATAGCTGAAAAATAGAAGATTTTTACGATTTTTTTTCAAATATATAGATATCAATATAGGCTTTTAATTATACTATTTATTATTGTTTTAAGTATAATTATATTTGTTTTAAGTATAAAAGAATTACTTTAAAAGATTGGAATTTCCAGGTTTTTTATGTTACGCGCTATCGCTGGTCACTTCTAACTAAAACATTACAGCTCATGTAATAATTTAAAATAACTGGGACAAGACAATTTAAAAACTACACGGAAAAAAAAGATTTGTTAATATATAGACAACTAAAAATATTAACTACAAGAGCAAATTTTCTTGCTTTCATAGCAAAGTTATTTAGTTGTGATAGCTAAAATATTTGCTAATATATATATTAACAAATCTTTTAGCTATTACAACTATATAACTTTGCTACGAAAGTAAGAAAATTTACTCCTGTAGTTAATATTTTTAGTTATCCATATATTAGCAAATCTTTTTTTTCCGTATATAATAAATTCAATAAAAACATAAGAAAAGCTATGATGTACAATCTAAATTGAAAATGTAGAGGATCTATTACAGCAAGCGTCAGGAAGAAGTACACATAAATACAGTAAAAAATTTATTCTATAATTATGAAGTAAAAACATTTGTGTTTTATTTTTAACGCTTGCTTTAATAGGCTCTCTACATTTTCAATTTAAATTATAATAAAAATAATAAAAATAAAATGAAAATAATAAAAATAATAAATTCGTTGGCAGATAAACCTGAATCCTTTGGAAAATTTCAAAAATTATTATTTTTCGTATAAGATTATATAAAAAATAGAGAGGAAAAATTATTTGTAACTTCTATGTGCCGCTATTTTGTTAAATTTCGACTTTCTGCATATGTTATTATTATTATTGGAGGGAAATAGGCTTACAAGCCCCTTGTCATTCCCATCTAAAAGATTTTTTGTAACAATTTCCTTATCAATATTATTTAAAGTAATTTTAAGCTTTTAAGTAATTTAAAGTAATTTGAAAATTGAACTTTGACCAGCATCTTCTTTATTTCGCTAGATGTAATCATCGCCTATTCGAAATATAATAGTCTGCGTTGATTATATTGACTTTCGATATACAAAGGTTCATCCTGCTGCAAATTTAATATAGTTTTTTCAATTCTCTAATCCTATTTTTTGAAATTGTTACACGAGTCTACTAAATAGAGACGTCCAGTGACACTGTGTTCAGCATGAAAAATTTGCAAACCAAATTTCAATCATTTTTAAATAAAAAATAATTTGGTTATACTTAAGATAATGATAAACATTATAACAAACTTTATATTGGTATTTTTATTCATTTCTTGGAAAGAATTTCGTAAAAATTTCCTATTTTTCGGTTATCTAAACCAGAATCTACCCTTAATTTATATGAGTGTATGTTGCAGCCGACTAAAATGAACTTGTTTCAATGATCGGAGCACATCAGATTCACTATTTAATTTCGAATAAAAATGTTGGCAATTCAAAGTGGAAGAGTTTATTCTGTTAGTGAATAGTCACTCAAATTCGAGTGACTCGACTATCATTCTACTTTTCAAGCGGAATATTACTCGAAGAAATTTAAAGTGTACATAGTTGACATAGTACGACATTCACTCTTTCATATACTGACGCATGATCCCTCTGTGATCTTATTTATAGAATGTCCTATCTCCGAAGATGGAATGGAGAGATTCGCTTGTCCAACCCCGGATAGAATGGGTCGATATCATTGCATCGACGATCATGTCCTGTGCGACGGTTTTATTGACTGTCCCTCAGCCGAGGATGAGGACAGACAATCCTGCATGTTTTACAAAACCGTGAGTAAAATCATACGATTGTATATATGTTTTTTTTGTTTTTGTTTATCCATCAGTTCTTTCCATCAAACTGCTAGAGGACGTAAACGATACTTGCAAAGTCCTACACTCGGTGATGCGTTGCCTACAATGTTTCTCCATATCCTGTTTGTGTTTAAAAATATTTTTGAATGTTTTGAAATCATGTACGTTTTGTGGTAAAACAAGAAGAGAATTTTTCAGCACTCAAACTCTACGTTATCTATCTCTTCGACATATGTTATCGCGTTATATGGATCACGTCTATACACATACACGTCTTCTCCAATTTATATTTATAATTCTTCGTTGTTTTATAAATAGTATGTCGACTATTTCTGCACCCAATTCATGTTTACGCGTATAATGGGGTGTTCATCGAGCGTTCAGAAACTACGAAGCAAAAGAAAATCGATTGTCGATCAAAGGGAAAGTCATTCTATTTGCAAATATAATTCTATCGTTTAAGATACATTTTTTTTACATTAGTTTTGTTCTTTTCGATTACTACATTTGCTACATTAGTGTACAAGAAATGTACACTAAAATGTAATGTACAAGAATTGATGTCAGCGATCTCCGTTATTTTTTGAAATGTTGTGAAATTCAGTGCAATGATTTATTTCTTTCTGCACTAACTTATTCCTCAGCAAATATCCGTTTGCGAAATAATTTGAATATTTCTTTTTCGATGCATTTTGAAAGACGTTTAATATCTAATATGAAAATTAATCTTCTAAAAAACAAATTCCCCCATTCTGAAGTAAACTAAAAGAAAAGTGTTTGAATTTTCACGTAAACAAATATATACTTGAAAGTAAAAAGAACAATTTGAACATCTTTTTCGATACAATTTCTAATTGGAGAATTTATTCTTGGATAATGTTCAGAAGACGAATTTTTTATTAGATGTTTCGGATACGTTTCGAAATGCGTCAAAAAAAGGTATTCAAACTTTTCTGTTTTTGAGTATAGATTGGGAGTCTCAGACTTCCTACGATTAATATAAAAACTGTTATTAATGTCAGCGCTTACAAAATTTGAGTTTAAAATATGCGAATACGGTTTATTTATAATTTGAAACTAAAAATTGATTCGAATAATATTCTCTCTTAAATATTATAATAAAATTTATAATTATAATTTAATATTATAATTTTTTTTTATTATTATTAATAAAAATATATGCATAACAAATACATATAAATGAAGAGAGATGAAGGGGGAAGAGAGAAAGAGAAAAAGTATAATGATTAGAGTGAACAGTAAATTGGTTTGAAAAAACACAAGGTGTACAATTCATATTAATGATAAGAAATTTTATGTTCATCTCTCTTTTTCCTCGTTATAAAAATATTTAAATTATTTTGATAAAAAATACAGATGTTATTGAAAATGTTACCGAGAATATACTCATAATATTCCATAATTAAATGGAACATAGCTAATTAGTTTAGTATATTTTGAGAATATATGAAAAACGAAAACTACAAGATATATACGGATATTTCCAGTATATTATGTACATTTATAATACATTCAGTGCAGTGGCGTAGCCAGAAAAAAGTTTCGGGGGGGAACTGTATTTTTTATTTTTGATGAGCAAAAAAAGATCATTCGAAAAAATTTTTCTCACACTTAGTGTAATCCAGAAAATTAATTTCGGGAGGGACAGCAGCCCCTCAGGCCCCCCCACCATGGCTACGCCATTGATTCAGTGTTTAGTGCATTCGAATGATATCGCACTGTGAATATCGGTTATCGGTTATCAGAACAAAAGCACGTTTGATATTTGATGATATTGATGATTAAGAAAACATATCAAACAGATTGACAGTTATCGTTGCAAATCATTTCTCATCATTAACAAATATACATTACCTAAGAGATGTATTACATTTGTTCTTGTCTGTTTAGGTTAAATTAGATTAGTTATGTCTTCATTACAGAAATGTTGTTTAAAACAGTAAATTGAAAGTAACAAATCATTTGTTCTCAATTTGTTCTTCGGAATTATTCGCTGTGTCAGTGGCGTAGCTAGAAAAAAGTTTCGGCGGGGTTGTACTTTTTATTTTTAACAAGCAAAAAAAGGTCATTTGAAATCATTTTTCTCACACTTAGCGTAACCCAGAAAATAAATTTCGAGGAGGAGGCTGCAGCCCCCTCAGCCTTCCCTGGCTACGCCACTGCGCTGTGTCATACCAACAAACCATTTGTTGTGGATACTGATATTTTGTTAAATTAGAAAAATTTTTTCTCTCAGTTGTCGTCTGAGGTATATTATTTAAAAAATTACTATAAAGTTCAAAGTTATCTCTTTAAAATATATCTTTCATTATTTTTAACATAAATAGATTATTGATGCAAATGTTAATCTAAAAAATGAAGTTAAAATTGGAAGATTGACATTTTTCAACTTGAAAATATTTAAGAGAAAGAAAATAAGAACTCAATAACAATGATATCAATTAAATAATAGGAAAAAGGGCTAATTCGAGTTTAAGCACAGGATTAATAGTGCTATGTACCATATGGGTAAAACCTTCCTTGTGTTAAGAAATAGAGCAATATTTATTGAACATGAATACTCAATATAAATAATCAGTTTCGGCTCAATCATGAACCCTCTTCAGTGATATAAGGTTTATAAAACGAACGCATTACAAGTAAAAGAATTAATTAAAGACGTTAATAAAATGATATGAATGTTATTCATAGTATTATAGCTAACAAGACCGTTATCCAACTAATATTAAGAAGTTCAAATTAATACTAGGAAGTTGCCGTCATAACTATAACAAAAAAAA